TGTCTTTGCTCGCTAAAACATGCGGTAGGCATCAGATGTGGTGGTAGTTAGAGGCTGTTAACTTTGGTAAACATGCTGGGTACGGTGGCATTCCCTGATGAAAATCCATCTGTTTTGACGTAGCATGATAAGTATATGCCGTCTTCGCCTTGCCGAGTAGTATAATGTAGAATGTGGCCATCACTGCTGTTGCAGTATTCAGCGACATAGCTTACTTAGAAATCCCACCAATAACATAGTGAAATTTTTATTTCACGCACATCTGCTCTGAGCAACCTACTTTTCTATTCAAGAGAATCTGTGAGGGAAGTGTGCATGCTCCACGCAAGGATTACAACACACGCCACCAACAACAATATCTCGAATTTTTGAAGCTGTTTTGTTATGATAACTGCTGTTTAACGCCGCAGTACGCGTTCCGAATGTTATCACAAGAATGCTGAGTTGTGGGCAAAAGTCGTGCCCCAGGCGGGAGTCGAACCCGCACCTCACGCTTTCCGGGCGAGTGCGCTATCCGTTACGCCACCAGGGCCGCTTTTACCCTCTCAGCTTACGGCTCACCAACTTAAGTAATAAACGACTCTAATAGCCTTGCATATAGATCGAGTATAAATCACTGGCTTCTCAGCGTCACACGATGATATTTATCGCTGGGCAAATGGTCTGTAACTGGGTAGTGGGGTGTAACGATTCGCGAGCGACTAGTGAACTGGTTGCTGTGTATTATTCTTCGCACACAATGTCAATCCAGTGCCCCTTCTATCACCGCATAGCGTTCCTTCGCTCTCATACACTTACCATTATCTCCCTGAAAATAAACTATTTCACGCTGGACTGAGCTGTAGGGGAGTTTATTTAGTTGGTCTTGTAACCTAACACTATAGATTATTATTCCATGCCGGGTATGTACTTCATATTCTGCCACAATCATTTCTACCAGCAAGCCATCGGACGCTGCTGCCAACGAGAAGTTTTCTGAGATCCAAGGGACCTCCACGATACTGAAAACACCAAAGTTGCTGTAGCTAACCTCTTCCTTTTAGAATTAAAGTCTGATGTGAGTTCTATCCGAACTGGACTAGTTGAATCAAATGTTAGGTGGTCCCATAATTCTTCTCCTATTTTCAACATATCGTTTATCTATTCCCTATCTTCTGATAAATATCCAAGAAAGATTACAAGCAGTAATGATATGACTGATGTGTGTTCATTCCCTGAGCAGTGAGTAGACGACTTCCTCGCATTATATATGAAGCTGGCGATTGAGTTTTGAAGAGGTTGTTTTCTTTTGGGGGGGGGGGTGTAGTCACTTGAAGTTCCCTCTGGTGAGATGCTGGTGAAGGCGAAGAGCAGTTCTAGGAAAAAATTCTAGAGCTACAGAGTGGCTGTGTTGCCTTGTTCCAGCCCAGTTACTCCAAATATGGCGATGCGAAAAAAATCACAGTGTGAGGTCTCAGCGCCAACCTAGAAAAAGGTGGCTTTGGGTTGTTCGAGAACCTTATTTCGCGCTGATGGGAGCGGCTTCCAGAGGTGTTTCACCAAGGTATCCGCACTGAATCTGTTCTTGTAGCGTCCGCTTGTACTGCAGTTTCCGAAATCAGGATCATAAAGAGGGAAGGTGGGGTAAGTCTTAGCTGCATAGCAACCACTAGGCGTGCTATGTATTAGGTTGTCCCAAAAGTTCGTGACCATTTTTAGAATCTCGTATCAGATCTTTCCGTAGCCATTTCGAGATCCAGTTATGTGGTCTATGGGAAGTGTGTTAAGTAAGCATCAGCTTCTTCACCGTCCCTCGCAGTCGCTGTTCTCATATTCAAAACGGTTGACATTCATTATTCAAATTCATTAATTCACATTTGGTTATTTTCTCTGAGTTTTGTCGTGGTATCTTCCACAGTGCGGCGCTGTCTACTCGCTATCTAACTTGACTGTTTCAAAAGCACAAATGACAGAGGGTCTCGCTTCCTTAAAAAAGCATTGGAGTTCGGTCAAA